CGACTCAATGCGTCGAAGTGCGCATTTGGAGTTGGGTCAGGAAAGTTTCTGGGATACTTGGTTACTAGAAGGGGTATTAAGGCGAGCCTAGATCAGATCAAGGCCATCTTGGACTTGAAGAGCCCAACATCGGCAAAACAAGTGCAAATGTTGACTAGAAGAGCTACAGCCCTGAATAGGTTTATAAGCAGAAATTCTGACAAATGCAAACCATTTTTTAGTTTAGTGAAGAAGGCCACAGATTTCTTATGGACAGAAGAGTGCGAAGTCGCCTTGGCCGACTTGAAAAAAAATCTAACCACAGCTCCAGTACTCTCAACTTTAATACCTGGAGAGGAACTGTTCTTGTACTTGTGGTTTCAGAGCATGCAATAACTGCAGTGGTAATCAGAGAAGAGAAGTAAGAACAGAGGGCAGTTTACTATGTGAGTAAAACCCTAGTAGGCGCAGAGACCAGATACTTACCCTTGGAGAAACTGGCATTGGCCTTAGTAATAGCTTCCAAAAAGCAGAACCATTACTTTTAAGTCCACAAAATTGTAGTATTAACTGAGCATCCATTGAAGTCCCTGTTGTAGGAAGGAGATCTGACTGGCAGGATAGCCAGATGGGCAGTGGTGTTGGGCCAATATGACCTGGAATTCAGACCCAGAACAGCGATCAAAGGCCAGGTTTTGGCCGATTTCGTGGCCAAGTTCACGCCAAGCGCCATCCTACATCAAGCTCCGTTGAGTCGTGGTTTAGGATGTCCAGGTGAACGAGAAGAAACCCGGCTGGAGATAGCAGAACAGAAGAAAGAAGAGAAACTTAAGCCCTGCGATATTTACATCGGCGACTCCTTCCGCCTATTTGTTGGTAGGAGTTCAAATCGTCAGGGAGCAGGGGCAGGAGTAGTACTAGTATCGCCAGATAGGCAGATGCTAGAACAATCTATTTATTTGGGGTTTAAGGCCTTAAACAACGAAGCAGAATATGAAGCACTGATCGCATGATTGAAGTTGGCAGCAACAATGGAAGCCGATAAGGTGGTGGTCTTCTGTGACTCCCAGCTTATCGTCAACCAAGCAACAAGCGAATACGTAGCCCGATATGAAAGAATGATGGCCTATGTAAAGGAGGTTGTCAGACTGATAGACTTATTCCAAGATTGTTGACTACAACAAGTTAGTCGAGATGACAATAACCATGCTGATGCCTTGGCTAACCTGGCTAGTGCAATAAAATCAAGAGAGGCAAGGATAATAATGGTTGACTATTTGTCAGGCCCAAGTTGAAGAAGACATCTTTACCAGACTGAAGTCGGCGAGGTTCAGTCTGACAGCAGAAAGACATCTCTACAAAAGGTCTTTTCCTGGTCCCCTTTTGAGATGTGCATCCTTCATAAGTTGAAGACTTCCTGTATGAAATACACGAAGGAGTATGTGGAAGCCACACTGAGGGAACGTCACTTGCTCATAGGACCATTACTCAGGGGTACTGGTGGCCTTATATGCAGAAAGATGCTGAAGCTTTTGTCAAAAAGTGTGAGAAGTGTCAGAGGTTTGCACCTTTGATACATCAACCAGCGGCAAATTTAAACCCAGTGTCCCGCCCTTGGCCATTTGCCCAGTGGGGCATAGATCTGGTTGGACAACTACCTCAAGCGACTGGACAGAGAAAATTCTTACTGGTAACAACAGATTACTTCACCAAGTGGGTAGAAGCAGAACCCCTTGCAAAAATTCGAGATATTGATGTGAAGAACTTCATATAGAAGAACATTATCACCAGGTTTGGGGTCCCAAGGGCAATAATAGCAGATAATAGTATACAGTTTGACAGTAAGCTAATTAAGAGCTTCCGTGCAAAACACAAAATCAAAAACTACTATTCCACTCCAAGCTTCCCCCAAAGCAATGGTCAGGCAGAAGCATCCAACAAAACTATCTTGAATGTCATTAAGAAGTGGCTGGAAGCAGCAAAGGGAAAGTGGGTGGATGAGTTGCCCAATGTGCTCTGGGCATATCAGACTACGCCGAGAAGATCTACTGGAGAATCTCCATTTGCTATGGCCTATGGCACTAAAGCAGTTATCCCACTAGAAGTCGGCATCCCAGGGATCAGAACCCAGGGAGTAAAGAATGGGACTAATGAGGCATTCCTAGCCCGAGATCTGGACTTGTTGGAAAAAATAAGGGAGAAATAAGCAATTCGGCTGGGGGCATACCAACAACAACTTGCTAAGGCTTACAATAAGAAGATTAACCCAAGAGAGTTTCAAATTGGGGTCCTCGTCCTGAGAAAGGTCGTCGGCAACAAGAAGGATCCTAGAGAGGGCAAGCTTGGCCCAAATTGGGAGGGACCTTATAGAATCATATCGGTAGCTGGCAATGGTGCATATCGGCTTGAGGACAGTGATGGCAAAGAGTTGCCAAGACCCTGGAATACTTACAATTTGAAGTTTTTCTATCATCAGATTTTTTTTTATGTTGTACTTTTATTAGCTGAGGTATTAATAAAGTTTTAGTTTGGTGAATTTGAAAATTTGTGTGATTGGACTAACCAGTCCTTTGGCGATGTTTCTGATTGAAACATGACGAATAACTTAGACTTATTATATGGCAGAGTTAAATTATACTTACATATAATAGAGTTGAACTAAGTTGGCGATGTTTCTGATTGAAACATGACGAATAACTTAGACTCATTACACGGCAGAGGTAAAATTATATTTGCATATAATGGAGTTGAACTAAGTTGGATTAAACTAGATCTGCCATATCAAACTCAGATTGGAACTAAGTACATTTGAGTAAGATTAACAGAGGAACCAAGGTTGAGAACCTCAACTATTCTTTGTTTGAATCTAACTTCGGTAACAAGATCATAGGCACAAGCTTAAATATGAACATAAGTGAAATTAAGTTCACATTAGGGGGCAGAGAACTGGAGAATAAAGTTCAGAGTACCTTGGAGTTGTTGAAACTTTTTTAAAGTTAAGCCAAGGTAAGTATTGAAAGACATACCCAACATACATTCTACCGAGGTAATCGTGTTGCCAAAGTTGGGAAATATAGAAAACAGATGTCTTGAAAAGTGAGGGTGAAGTGGCAAGTTTAAACCAACACTTGTGAAAATATTTTTACAATGTTTTTAAGTGTTAAGCCAAAACCGAAATAAAAAATTACGAAGTTATGTCCAAGGTATTATACTCTGAAGAGGTTATACAAATAGAGGTATATTTTGAAGACACGCAAAATTATTCTAAGTATGGAATGGTAAACATACATAGAAAAAAGAAGGCATACATTCAAACATTTGGAGGAAAATATAGAGACATGCATGCAGAAAAGAAAGTTGATCAGATACAAAAAAAGGCGTATTGGCTTGCAGAAGGATTACTTGTTCACTGTTACAAAGTGAGACGTATCGACCAAATATGAAACAGAAATATTGTTCAGGCAAGACAAAATACAAAGATAGAAAGAGAAAGAATACAAGGAAAAACATAAATATTCTAAATGCTGAGATTGGCTTCATCGGCTGGTGGTGTTACACTCTTGTCGGCCTCTACCTCGGCATCAATCTCACGCAGTGTGTCATCTAGGATCTTACTGGCAGTCTCGACTTCGGCTTCAGAAGTGGTCTTTTGGACCTCGTCCTCCTCATCTTGAGTCAAGTCCAGGACTTGCTCATTCAGAGTTGGGGACTTGGCCACAGCAGAACCTTCGGTGTCGGCTTCCACTTTGGCCTCTTCGTCTTCTTTTTCTCCTTCTTTCCCCTCAGTCTTAGCCGCAGATTAGCTTGAAGCAGAGGGGAATGGCAAAGCAAGTCGGAATTCATCTCTGAGGGAAAAGTCCTTGGGGACAGCCAATTCTTTCCGAGCACCCATCCAACTAAGGGTGTAACCCTTGTTGCATGCCTGTCTGACTTGTTTCTTGTACTCCTCGCGGACATTGGCTGCCCCCTCAGCGTAGGCCTTCTCCTCCACTGCTTTGATTTCGGCATCTTTTGTGGCCAAGTCATTTCGGAGCTCTGCTTGGGCTTCGGCAGTTTTTATTTCGGCCTCTTTTATTTTAACTTTGAGGACTTCAGCAACAGCCTCTGCAGCACCGGCCTTTTCCTCGGCTTGGTCTTGGGTTTGTTTAGCTACATTGGCCTGATCTATCAGGACTTTCATTTTGTCCTTGGCGTTGTTTAAGGACTTAAGCAAGCCAGTGGCCTCCTTGGCAACTCCTTTTTCATGTCCTCAGCCTATATCGCAAAGGAGTGGACGCGCTGGATCGCCTAGAAAAAACAGAATGAACAAAGTTAGTAAACTTTATTAGTATGGAAACAAAGAATGGAGAGTACAAACTGTTAGGAATTTACTAATACAGAATGCTGCACTATCAGAGCAAAATTTTCATATTTGCTGACCTCGGCCATACAGTTGAGATCATTAGGAAGAAGCAACGCAGTGGAGAGGGCAACGCCGACCTCAATATCAAAAGCGCTATTGCCGGCTCTAACAGGCTTGTCCTCAATCGTGACAGAGGAGGCCCAGGGGTCATCAGGTTTAAGAGAACCTGAGATGGTTGTAAAGTCCGACCTCGACTTTTTTGACTTAGTGGATTCGGAGGGGTCAGCCTCGGAGGGCTTCTTCTCGGCGGCAAAGGGCTTTTCTCAACCTCGACCAGCTTAGATATAGGGAAAGTGTCCTCAGAGTCGATTTGAGTCACTGTTGCCTTGGCTTTGGCCTTCTTCTCCCTTTTTGGCTTCGCCTTTGGTTGGGATTGGGATGGTAAAGATTGGACTGTGACAACATTGAGGATGTTGGCTAGAAGGTCTTCGGCGACGGCCTTGGTACACCCCATCTCGTTAGTGGTGACGACAACAGTGACTTTTGTGCCAAAGTGGATTGCTGGGAAAGTAGTAGGGGATTTGGCCGGATCGAAAGCTGACGCCTCAATACTTCGGCGTTTTCGACTACAAGTTCTGCCTGCGGGGGCGAGCAGTAGAGCTTGACGACGACGTTGACACTAGGGTGGAGGAATTAGTTGGGGAGCAGATGTCGATGGCTGCTCTGCTGGGTTAAAGGTTGAGGCCTGATCAGGCCTTGGCGATGAAGTGGCAGAGGGAGTTGTTACTGAAGGTGGAGACTTTCTTTTCTTGGGGACGTCGGGCAAGGTGGATTTGTAGGTTGGAATGTAGTTAAGCAGCAGAGGGGCCTTACACTGATTAACAGGCAAGCCCAGCATCTTCTTGAAGTCTTGACTGGGGAAGAATGTCTTACGAAAGTCTTTGGGTGGCTGAGGAAGAGCTGCAAGTGCAAAAAACCGACATTAGAACATATAAAAGGAACAAAGTAATAAAGACTTGAAAACCAGTAAAGTGACACTTGGTTCTTACCATTACCCTCTTTAAAGACTGATCGGCTCAAGGGGTAGAGGTGGAGGTCATCATCTGGTGAGAACTTCCAGTTGCCCAAGACAATGAAATAATCATCTCCAGCACCTTTGTTAGAGTCTGGGAGGTTGGTAATAAGTTTGTACTCGGTCAACCTTGGCTTGAGGTAATAGATGTAGCCTTTTTCTGATTTAAGGCCACACATGGTATAGTAGTATCGGATGTCCGCTAGTGTTATCCTAGCATTTTCTCGGCTAGCTAGGGAAATTATATTGTTATTAACTCTGTAGGAGTTAATGGCTAGCTGCATTGGGTTAAGTTTGTAATAGTGAAGGACTTGGCAAAAAAGGATGCCGAGAGGGAACCTAAGTCTGCACTTGATGAGAGCAAGTACTGGGAAGGGCATGAGGTTGTTATTGGGCATAATGGAATCCTCCTCCCCAGCCAACCTGAGTTAGACATCGACAGGGATGGAGAACTCTCTCCTAAAATACTCAAGCTTCTCTGGGATGTCCACCCTCCACTTAAACATACCCATGATGTCGGCAAGAGGGGTAAGGTGAGAGAATTCCGCAGAAAAAGGTTTGTGTGGGTTTCAAGAACCTCGGCTAAACCCAAAACAAAAACTAGGGCAAGGGTTTTTCAAGATCAATGGGAGTTTTTTTCAATTTTCCTAAAAAAGTGATTTCTATACCAAGACTCAAGCCTAAATCTAAATAGAATCAGAAAATTGAAGGCAAGAATCTAGAAAATGCAATAAGGAAACAAAACAAAGAGTGTGATTCAGACTCACGAAAGAAACAAAAATTCACGAACATTGTACGAAGTGTGTGCAGATGTACAAAGCCAAGTATAGTGGCAAAATAAACAAGTGTGTGAGTGGTGTGTGTATATGTATACCCAGAAAGAGATTGGGCAGAAGCAAAATCATGAAACAAAGATACACGAATAATGGAATTCAACATACAAGCAAATATTCAAGAACAGGTTCGCAATGGCTACAATTGAATACAATAAAATTTTGAAATGAATTGAAGACTGAAAAGGGGGGAGAACAGAGACTCACCAAAGAAGATGGCGCTAATATAAAACTCGCCGGAGTCAGACGGCGTGAGTAGTCAATGCCAGATGATGGTTGGAGCAAGTTGCAGAAGCTTCAAAGTACGAAAATGGAGGATTTGAGAGAAAGGTTTTTTAGAAAGAGGAAGCTTGAGAGAAATCAGAAAACGTGAAGTGAAAAGACGAGGAGAAAGGGAAGTGTTTTTGTTAAAACATGAAAAGGCAGCAAAATTACATTGAATATGCTTTGGACGACGTGCCTATCAGCTAGCACGCAGAAGCGACGCAACTTGATGGCGTGTGTCAGGTTCGATTCAATAAGAAATAGACGCGTAGCAGAAACGGTTGAGAAATCGTGCGTGGCAGCTCATGCACAGATAGAACTCTTGGAGTTCTTGATTTAATGAAGCAAGAGCCTCGGCTAGAGGGACAATCCCGGTTAAAGAACATTAAAAACTTGGTTCTTGGTTTTTGGGCATTGGTAAAACAGACTACAAGTCTTATGGAGCCGACATATTATGACCTCGGTAATGAAGATAACGTAAGTCTTAGTCGACATGCTATATGAACAAACGATTTAGGTTCCATCACCTCAGGATGCCGAGGTAATAGAACCTAGAAGGCAGTTGTGGGGACATATTTTTGTGGATGACAACACGTGGCCAAGGTGGCACCGAAGTGCCAGCTGAGGTGCCACGTGTCTAGGTCATGGTCGAGGTTATCTGTGAAGATACCAAAATCTGAGATGAACGGATAAGCTAAAAGAATCCTATAATGGGGGAGGACCTCAGCTTGGATAAAGATAAAGTTCTTAGGGATTTTATCTTTATCCATTGGAGAGTCTAAGATAAGCATTAAGCCAGAGTCCAAGAGAAAGTAGGCTTGTACAAAGATCAAGTTAATGCTAGCTATAAAAGTATGGCACCCTCGTGGGTCTAGGGTACGCTTTTTGTATCCTGGTTAATGAGTTAAGCACTGTTTGCTATCTTTGAGAGATAATTGAGTACTGATTTGATCATCGGAGTGCCCCCGAGTGGACGAACCACCGCCGGAGTCTTATATTTCTGTGACAGGTTGTTCGAGCGTAATCTATTCTGCCAGTGTTCTCCAGCTGAGTACCTATTTGGCAGTGTGGTCAGAAATCAACACCCGCAATTTGGCACCGTCTGTGAGAAAGAAAGGAGAATATATGTCCATCAAAAGAAAGCTATCTGTAATGAACATGCGCAGAGCTAATACACAAAAAAATAAAAACAGGACAATTGGTCATCCTAAAAGAGTGAAGCTGACCTCAATAAGTCAGACCTGCATAGGATATTTAACATGACCTTTAAGCATTGAATCAACTATGTTATTCTACAATGTAGCCTCATTAGACAAAGACCTTTATTATTGTAATAACCGTGTCCTGTACTATGTTAATTAATCATGATTATGTTTGTAAATAAGTGCTTAATTTGAATTTGGGTGTTAATTGCATGATTATATGTGATTTTGGCTTTGTATCTGTTCATCGTAAGAAAATCTGTTAGAATTTGTGCTTTGAACTGAAAATTGAAGGCCTTATCGGCAGAAACCGAAATTGACTATGCGATTGTGATTAGCATAATTTTTAGAACCTACGGTGAAATTTAATACAAAACTGATTCGGAACGAATTAATTAGTTTAAATCGAATTAATTAAGCACTATTGATTAGTTCTAATTAAGTATGATTAAGAAAAGCCTATATAAATGAGCCATACATGCTTAAGTTCATTTTTTTGAGCCCAAATCAGGTTCTACACTCTAGAGAGAGAGGGTGAACCGAATTTAGAGAGAGAAAGGAGCTATTCTTGAAGGTATTGCAAGAGAATTCAAGAAACTAAGAGGATTAGCTCAAGAATTGGCTATAATTGGAAGAATTGAAGCTCCTAGGTGAGTAATCAACCCTTAATTCATGAGTTTGAGTTTGTAACTATATGAATTCAAAGAGAATATGTGACCAAAAGCAAGAATTGAGTGGTAATTGATGAATTTGGAGTCAATGAATGCATACATGTAAGAAATTGCTATGAATTTGCATATTTGAGCATAAAGTGTATAATCCATGTTGAACTTTGATTGAAGTTCATGCTTTTGATCATCTCTTCACCATATAAGTTGAGAATAGAGGTTATATCCCACATGCAAGAGCAATTCATAGTGGTGTGAGTTTTGAATGCATGAATTTAATGTATTGGAAATAAGTTTGGAATAATTTGGGTTTCCATGTGATTGATTCATAAGATTTGAGCTTCATAATGTAGTAAATTGGTGTTTGTATCATGTTAGTAGTTGCATATGAGAGTTATGGGTTATAAAATGCAAGCTATGTTAATTTGAATGCAAGTTTGAAGCTTAAACTGGTTGTTGAAAATTACAGAATTCGGCATGTCCGCTCGAGCGGAGAAAGCGCCGCTCGAGCGTGAAATGTTAGTTCCTAGAACTTTTGCAGACTTTGATGTCTGCTCGAGCGGGGAGAGTTACGCTCAAGCGTAAGTCACATGTGTTGACTCTCAGCTTGAGCGTCCGAAGTCGCGCTCGAGCATAAAAATAAGGCAACCAGTACTTTTGCAGACAAAATGGGTCCGCTCGAGCGGCTAAAGCGACGTTCGAGCAGGGAGCCCTATTTCTGAAACTTTGAAAGGATGTTTTGTGCTTCATTTTCCGTTCTCTTTCATTTCTAAGCACTCTTAGGCATGCATTGAGCATTATGAATGAATGTAGAAGATAAGAAAAAGGCCTAAGCGGAATATGTGAATTAAGAATGGATTGAATCGTTTGTGACCCATATGTGTTATGTAATGTGTAGGGTCGAGCTCAAGGGCAAATCCATCAGCAGAACACTGTGAGTAATATCTTAGTAAAGATATTTTTAAGTATGTTACTTTCCAAATGCTACTTCTGTATAAGCTTCATGGATTTGTTGATTTGAAATGTGAATGAGTATTCTATATGCCCAATTCCGTATAAGACCGTTTGATACGTTTGATATATCTGAATTCGGCCAAAGGTCGTTTGACATGAATGATTGGGCCAAAGGGCGTTGGACATGAATGATTAGGCCAAAGGCCATTGGACATGAATGATTGGCCCAAAGGCCGTTGGACATGAACGATTGGGCCAAAGGCTGTTGGACATGAACGATTGGGCCAAAGGCCGTCGGATATAAATGATTGGGCCAAAGGCTGTTAGACATGAATGCAAAGATGGGCCAAAGGCCATTTTGAATGTCATTTGATATGTTTGAATACCGTGATGGGCCAAAGGCCGTTTGAATGAAAAGGATCATGATCATGAATATGAAATACACATGGATATGAATATAAAGAGAATGGGCCCGAGGCCGTTTGATACGCCTGATATATTTGAATTGGGCCCGAGGCTGTTTGATATGTTTGGATTGGACCAAAGGTCGTTTTGAATAAAGAGTTGGTTAGACCAAAGGTCGTTTCGTATAGATGGACCCGAGGTCGTGTTGTCTTATATAAGAATTGGACCTGAGGTCGTTTTGCATATGGATATGATGTGTTGGATCCAAGGTCATTTTGCTTTGTTGAGATTTGTAAATCTGGTATGAATGAGAATAGTGGTTCAAATGTGTACATTATAAGTATGATTCATTTATGAACGAACCTCATTCATTAACCTCTTTATTTTGATATTATTCACTGGGCGTTAGCTCACTCTTATTTATATGTATATCGGTGAGCAAAGGGACGTTCAACCTCAGCCTTAGTGGAATTTAAGAAAGGAACCCGAGTTTTGTGAAGTCAGCCCAGGTGCCTCACGCAAGAGGCTTTGTTTATAATCTTTTGTATTTCTTTTGCTATTTCTATTGGTCATGATAGACTGATTATGGGTATAAAGCTTTTGGTTTAGCTGGCTATGTGTTTGAATGATCCTAGGTATACACGATGTTAACTACTGGTATGTGGTGTGAGTTATTATTAAGTATATGTGAAATGTTTTGATATGCCATGTAAATATAGTTTACTGGACAAAATTTTTAAGTTTGCTTCTGCATCTGGCCCCATATTATTAATTATTAATTGATATCAAGTTTGAGGCCGTAGGTAATCTCATGATTACTGGCTGGTTATGACCTTAATCTATAGGGGCGGGTTTGGGTAATGACAATTATGTACAAGTTTTTCAAAAACTAGAAAGCATTGCAACAATAATGTCCTACAAAACAAAGCTATAATAACAAAATTGCTACTCAAATGGACAATTTTATGGGATAATACATGAGCAATAATCTGAGTGGAGGAATGAGACCTGTGTCAACAAAATTCTTCATATTCATCAAGTTACGGACACGTGGGTCATGGAAAACTAGAATTCCCTCCAAGATAATTATATCAGATGCATTTACCTGACAAAGAACGTTGAATTGTAATTCAACGAAGTTAAAGGAAAATTCATAAATCATCAAAACAACATTGTCAATATAAAAAACACAACATTCTCTCTCTCTCTCTCTCTCTCTCCCTCTTTGAGACACTCGGGGCAGACCAAATATTTTTGATCCAGACAATAATTACACTGATCCTTTTGTAGATAATGAAGATGACTCCTATTTCAGACCAAGAGCTTCTCCTAACATGGAAAATTTTTTCAAACTCAGGCCTTTGAAAGTGATCTGAAGTTTTGGCTGTTGATAGCATGCATTTTTCTTTAACTAGTGTGATATTGAACAAGCATTAACCAAATTCTGACATTGAAAGAGTTTGTCTTATTTCTTTTTTACTGTCATGAAATAGCTTTCACTTGGAGACAATGAAATTAGATTCAAAAGTGGACTCAACGTGCTCCACTCACATAAGTACAAGAATTACCAATTTATTCTTTTTCTGTAAAATAAATAATGACGCAAGCATTAACAGTTTCTTCGTCTCCCAAACTGCAATGAAATGCAAAATCAGCATCAGAAGTTGTCCATAAATAGGTGAAACCTGTGGCTAGTTGATTTACTTAGGATGCCCACATAGTGGCCATGCTAGCTAACGGCAATGAGATGCAAAATCAGCATCAGAAGTTGGCCATGCTAGTTGTCCACTGTAAATTGAGGTATGCCATCTATTCTTAGGCTAGAACCTGTTTCCTCTTTTAATAGGTAGGGAAAAACTATGAGTCTGTAAGTTGTCAGTAAAATAAATAAAAAAAGCAATCCCAATTATAAGTGGAAAAAGATTAATTTACTAGCAAACAGGTGTGTGGAGCCAACTAAGATTGTTGATGTAAGGCATGGGTATGGCCATGTCTGGTCAATTTTAGCTAAAGCAGAACACAAATGGATAGAAACAAAGAGGAGAAGCCTGGAGCCTAACCAGGAATTTTTTCACAACTTATTTCTACTTCATTCAGCCTGAGAAGTTTGTTATTCAAAGAAAACTCTGTTTTTTACAAGCCCTCTCATGGGCATTGAAAGTATCTGCTGCAAATGTTGAGAACTGTGAGAAAAATTGATCCACTCCTCTCCTTACTGGGATCAAGGACATTTATAAGCTAAATTTAGAAATAGATTCTTGCCCACACCCCTTAACAAACGTAATTAATAATACCCAACCCAACCCAGCCTAACGCCCTCTTTTCCCACATCAGAATTGTTAAGAAGCTTGGTGTTTCACCTGTGAGATTAATGTGGTAAGATAATATTAATGCAGGAGAAATTTATCCGAGAAAGGTCAAAACAATTATTGAATTTGCAATGACTTAATAAGTCTTTGTGGCTCAGAGACATTCTATGGACTTTGACCATAGCATGTAATAAGGAAGGACATGCATAGCCAAAATTAGGACATTAAAATGAATGATTAGCAATAACATAAAACCTAGAAGTTGATTCATTCTTGACAAGTTCAAGGTCACAACAATTCTTAACAAAATTATATAAAGGAGCTGAGAAGCTTTTATCAAGTGCGATACATACCGACTACCACATTAATAGTACGTACAAAATGTTGCATAGAATATTACATATCTGCGATGGTTTTTAAAATCAAATATTGGGACCTGGACAGATTCGCCACTTTTGAGTTTCTCAATGCACTCTACAAGCTGTTCGGAGTCAAAAGCATCTACACACAAGCAAACATATATTTTAGATTTACACAAAAGCTCCTGTGCATTCTACTGCATTCTAGTTGTACCATATAGTTAGCAAAGCAGAGAAAAAAACACCAACAGAGTTTACGTACAAATTAAAGGCCTATAGCAATACTTAATTATAAATTTTATTACCAGGATGATCAAAGTTATATTCATGTAGTCGTTGTGCTTCTTTAGTTGTCAAGCCACAATAAAATGAATCCTACATATAAGCCACACCAAACATATATCCGAAAATTTGAAAGAGAAATTTGCTTTCATAAAAGAGTGAGTAATCCAAGCCAATCAACCAAGTGTTTATCAAAATTCCTATTGCATTCCATATTGTAGCTATAGAATCCTTAACAACAAAAGTTAAAAAATATACATACCATACATGACATTTAACTCTTTGGTAAAAAAATCCAAACCATACACTGCCAGGTATTACTCACACTTACGATCATGACCATAATACCAGAAGGCCGTAGTAAAACACTCAATAAAGTGAGCTAGGTTTTTACTGGGGTCAAATATCATTCAATGAAATAATAAACTAAAAGAAAGAAAATTATAGGGAAAATGAAATTTAGAAAAGAAACAAAGAGAAATAAAGTGTGCCGAACACAACAATTGGTCAAAATTATCAAAAAGTTCATTACATTCACCACCGTAGTAGTACATTACATTGAGCATCAAATTTTAAGTAAGAATACGTATATCAACTTAAAAGCACCTATCAATGAGAGCATCACAGAAAATATAATCATAACTAACTAGCTTGACATTCCAATATAACAAAAAAATCATTACAGATCAAAGTATTTCAAAAAAAAAAATTGTATTACCACACTTAAGAGAGGTAGAGAAAGAGGGAAACTCTACCCATGTAAAATGAGACTATTAGCTACAAAGTAGAGACATAATTTTTAAAATGTCAGAGAGTGAAATGTAATTAGATCAAATTTTAGGGTGTCAGTGTAATTTACCATAAATTAAAACAACAATGCTAGAGGGCCACAATTTTTGTGGCCACAATGGCTCAAAACTGCCAAAACGACGTCGTTTTGGGTGCAAAACATGCCAAAACGACGTCGTTTTGACAATTTTGATCCATTGTGGCCACAAAAATTGTGGCCCTCAAACATTTTCCAAATTAAAAGCACTGCGAGGATGTTTGTGCAAAAGAATACGAAAAACAAGCCTTTTCCCTCGCTATCTCTCTCTCATCACTGTCAGTGTTCCCTCGCTCTGCATTACATTCGAACCCTACATTTTCTCTGTCCGACACTAAATCTTCTTCAATCTCTCTCGATCCAGCCTACATTACTCGCTATACAATGCAAGATTTCATCGGCTCAGTTTGCCGATCTCTGGTTTTCAAGCCCTCCGACGATGGAGGTGTCTTCGGAGGCTTCGTTGAGAAGATCGGCTCCATCATTCGCAAATCGGGAATCGGACTCTTCTCGAAGCCTCCAGTCCCTGCACTTCCACCGATTGCCAAGTCTGATGCGATCAAAGTCAAGAAAGACGACGCACCGATTGCCAAGTCTACTGCGATCAAAGTCAAGAAAGACGATGCCCCGACGATTCGGTGGAGGAAAGGTGAATTGATCAGTTGCGGCGCATTTGGAAGGGTTTATATGGGACTCAATATCGATTCTGGAGCTCTTCTAGCCATCAAGCAGGTTAATTTTTAATTTTTATTTTTTTGAAATCTATTTGGTTTTGGTTTTGATTTTGTTACTTTTTAATTTTTTAATATCTATGCAATGCAGGTTTCAATTGCAGGCAACAGTGCTGCAAAAGAGAAAACACAGGTTTTGTATTTCATAAATTAAAATTTTATTTGTTAGTTAAGTAGATTTCATGTCTTTATTTCTGCTCCTTCTTTTGTTTTAAATCAGATGTATGATGATGCTAGAGGGGTTTTATACCCCAGAACCTTGACTACTTAATTCTATTACTTCACTGTTTTACCAAGAAAAAAAAAAGGAAAAAAAAAGAAGTTATGAAAAATATATGAATTCAATGTATAAATGGTTTAATACAATGTGTTTGTTAATTTTATAATATTTATACAACTAGACAATTTTCTCCCATGATTTTTTTATTTTATTTTATTTTATATTATGAACCAACATGTATTTTCTCTGTACAATCACTCAAGAAACTCTGAAATTGTGTTTGGATAGAATTTGTAAAAATAAAAATAATAATAATAAAAAAAAGAATGGAAAAGTGAACGAAACAGGCTTTTATTTCATGCACAAATCTATTTAATTTTTTTATATATATAAATTCAAAATTCTATGATAATTGTTTTTGTACAAATCTAAAATTCAATAGTCAAACTGATTTTATTCGAATAGTTTCTTTGGCTCCAAGCAATTTGGGTGGATATAGAATACTCATTTGTGCATAATCAACATCAATGAGTATAATATGAATTCTAAAGAATCAAAATATTTTGATGGAGATATGAAGTTGTTTGGTAATTTTTAATTTTTAAAGGAATTTCTAACAAGATAGGATTGTAAAGTAGTTAATAGATATTTTTAAGCTAATAATTTTAATATTATTTTAATTTTGGCCAAAAGTCATGATTAAATTGTAACAAATAATTCAATTAGATTTTTTGAATTACTTAAAAACGCCCAAGTTTATTTCTAGTAATAGTATAAATCCGGTATTAGATCTATTTTTAGTGTGTAACGTGACTTCAAACCAATAGATGTATTTTTTAAATTATTCGTGGCATATAGATAAAGGAGCAAATGAACTAAATAATAGATTTTTTAATTAATTACAAATTAAGAAAATTAACAAATTAATTTGAATTTTTGATGCTTCCAAAATTCATCGATTAAATTTTTAAAAAAATAAACAAAAATTTATTGATTTTAGGAGAGTCCAATGCATACATATAATTGAACAAAACTCACAACTTGTTTAACAACCAGCAAATAAATGTTTAAATTTAAAGATAAACACAAATAAAATATTATTTTTTTAATATTATTAAGTTTGTATTCAATTTTGCACATTAATTCAAGTCCTCCTAGTTTTTTCATCTCCTTCTTCTTCTTACCCTCAACTTTAGCTTCTTATGATGATGATTACAAAAAGATATTCACCACTCTCAGTCACAACAGTGCCATTACTTTTTTGTTTGTCCAAAATATTTGAAAAGGAAAAACACTATGAAAATGGAGAAATGATTGAATAATTTTTAAGAAGTGATTCAATATTAAAAATAAAAATAAAAATATGAAGCACACAATTGAAAAATGTCCGAGAAAAAAAAAAGCAAATGAAAATAAAACCTTTAGAATTGTAGTGAGATACCCATGTCTTTATAAGTAAATTGTAGATAAACAGGTTTTGAGCAAGTGTTTATTTAGAAAGATGTAGAGAAGTAATCATGTTGTTGTAACAAAGAAGAGAGCATGCAATCAAGAGTTGTGAGTTTTTTTTTTCCTTCATCATCTTTAATTTCATTTTAGTGAGAATAGTACAACTATTTATGGAGATTAGAATACGAACATAAGAGAAGTTTTTTTTAGATTCTTTATAGAAAAGAAATAAGGATAACTATTTAGGATTTTTATCTTTTTTTTAAAAAATTTTATTTTTAATTTGCTTCTTTTTATCTCTTGGTTTTTTTATGTGTTTTTATTTTTTTTAGATTTTTGTAGAAGAGAGATAAGGATAACTATATTGGATTTCTATCCTTTTATTTGAATTGTGGGAAATAAAGATATTATGTGATTTTTTTTTATTATTTTACTTTTATTTTTTTATATAGGGAGAGGGAGTGAGAAGTTTTGAAAAGTGAAAAGGGAGCTAGAGGGGGGTTCCATGTATTTTTTTTTTCTTTTTAAAGTTATGAGAATTTAGGAATGAATTTTTGAAATTTTTTGAGATAACACTGCATTTGCGTATATATATAGTATAGATCGCGTTTGTGGTACTAAGTGCCCATTTGAGAACCAAGATTAAAAGCTGCGTTTTGCAGCTTGGGGGTAAAAGGCTAGATTGGCTTTTTTAACAATAAGTCATTTGGGAAGTCCAAAAAAGTTGCATGTGAAATTACCATTATACCCTTCATGTTGTCTAGGGTTGTACATGGGTGAAAATGTAAATTTACTAAATTGGGTAGGGATATTTTGGTCATTTGATTGTGATGTGACATTATAAACAAATATTAACCGAAAAAGTCAAAAGCAGTTTTTTACGAACTTCCCAAATCACTTTCTAAAAAAGCCAAATACTTGGTAAAAAACCAAAAGCCAGCTTTTTACCAAAACACTCCTAAATTGGTAGTTTTCTATTTTAATGTTTAAAGATTTTTGCTTTAGTTGATTGGCAAGAGTATGTTATTTGAATTTGACCTTTTTTAATTTTTTTTAGGCCCACATTAGAGAGCATGAAGAAGAAGTGAACCTTCTTGAGAATCTTTCACATCCAAACATTGTTGTAAGTATTTGATTTGCATTCTTCCTGAAGCAATGGTTGTTCATTTTTATTGTCTTGTCTGTCTATTTTTATATTTTTGGTTGGTTTTCTAACTTTACTCGTCTTTTCTTTTTCTTGAAGAGATACTTGGGAACAACTAGAGAGGACGCATCGTTGAATATTTTGTTGGAAATTGTCCCTGGTGGATCTATCTCTTCACTTCTGGGAAAATTTGGTTCATTGCCCGAGTCTGTAAGTTGATTACCACTTATTCAAATTATATATTTTTTGTTTTTGAGTATTCAAGTTTATATCAAATAACACTCTGTCGAGAGGCAAGGCCTGCTTATTGACTTAACAAAATTTCATTTTAGGATTTTTTTTTAATCAACAAAATAAGAAAACTTTATTGATAAAATCAAAACATTACATATGCAGACCATCAATAAAGAAAAGATGAGAGCTCGATAGCATCATAGCACCTCAACCTGATCTCAACTAGGTTGACACCAAGAAGGATGCCCAATCTTGTGCTAGCTCAAGCCAAAATGTTGGTGAGAAACCAACAACAAACAGAAAAATCACCCCAAAACAAAGGAGTAACAAACAATCAAACCGACCCCACCTGTTAAAACTACCAAACAGCAGCCATCTATCCTACAGACAACAATCTCCACAGCCAAAAATTAGCCCAGAATTCTGATTCTGTTCCGTTGCCTGGAGCAAGATCTTACTTGCTGAAGGTTGAACGCCACATCATTAATAGAAAAATATATCCCATGTGTTATATTTCAACCATAAAGCAATTCTAACCTTCAGCAACTCCCCAAAATCCGTAAAATCTGGTTGAATTGCGTTGAACACAAATTCATTTTTGAGCTTCCACACAGACCACGTGATAGCAAAAGGAATAGAATGCCATATCCTCCTTTCAAACCTGCTACAG